AACCCTAACCCTAACCCTAACCCTAACCCTAACCCTAACCCTAACCCTAACCCTAACCCTAACCCTAACCCTAACCCTAAGTAAACTAGCCGCAAACCTCACCGGATTGCGTATTGGCCGACGAACCTATGTTGGCTTTAGTGACGAAATACCAGATGAGGTTCCGTTCTGCCCGTCAGGTAACCTCGCAACGAAATTAAATAACACTCCTTATTATCTCTTTCGCATTTACTTATATGCATCTGCTGGAAAGAATAGTTGCAAATAGATAAAATCTATTGACGCCCTAGAAAATAATCTGACGGACATTTTTGCATAAGATCATACTGCAAATATCGCTATAACCCTTAATGAGCATCTTCGATAGGAGCCAAAATCATGCGGAGACCCTTCCATATCCTAGACAACTTCGCTCCTTGTCGCAATTGAATACGCTATCTATAAGCATAAGACGGAAGGTGCCAAGCTGGAGGCAATTTATCTATGCATTGTCGATACCACTATGTTCCCAAAGGGGGTATTTATACGAGACCTCGACCTAATTGAGGAATTCTATAACAAAGTCCCCAGCCGTCAAAAGATCATAGTCAAAGGTATATGCTACACTTGGGAAGCGAGAGGACTCGACGACTTCCGTCATTTGCGAAACAAGCGATATAGGACTTACTCCGGCGTTTATTACTTCGGAGAGTTCCTCTTACAAGGACAGACAAATATGACAGGTCATTCATCCACGGTGATATACAATAAGATTATCAATAATGATTTATTCACTATGCTACCTTAATTCTAAGCGGAACTGGAAGATAGTAAAATACAATAGGCGGAAGCAGTGGTAAAGTCTCGAGAGTGGTTCTATATGGATATTGAGCCGGAGGCAATAAGCGCCTCTGAGTTCGTGGAGGCAGCGAAGATAGCATTAAATTTTAGGATAGTATGGTTTCTGCCTATGCTAGCTAATCTATTGGCTCTGCGTCCTCGCGCAGCGCAAGATCCCGGGATTCTAGACCAGATCTCAGGCCTATTTTCAGGTGTATAACTATTGTAATAAGTCTAGGCTTACTAACTAATAGGTAGATTAGTCGAGGTATAGTATATCGTCTAGAGATATTAAAATTATAGCCAATAAGAATATCCCAGAGGTCCTGCAGTTTAGGAAGATTATTTATAATATTAATAAAGATTATTAGGATAAGTCTGCCTATACCTTATTGAGATCTTTAAAAGAGACTGCAGGTGCACTCTCTGACTTAAATTGCCCTACAGTAGGAAACCAGTGTAGGCTATGGCATACTAACTTTAAGTTTTTAGACATTATTCAGCGCTTTGCAACCAGCTCTAGGACCACCGGAGCTTCTAGGCTGCTAGGTAAGGGTAATTTAGCAGGCAGTCTCTATACAATAGAGAGTAAGCATCTATAACTACTTATACAGAGCTTAATAGCGCTAAATCGCACTATATAAGAACTTCAAGAAGGTATAACTTCTAATTAGTATTATTATGGATATAGTTATGGTTAATTACTTTGAAGGAGTTCGGTGACTTTTGTTCTAGGATCGTTGGCCTAGCATTTAAGGAAGATGCCGGTGAAATAATGCAATTAGCTGCTATAGCTCTAGCCGATAAGACCTACTACGGTGCCTTTAAGCAAGAGGCTGAATAAGCTAATAAGGAGCTTAGTCTTACTACTAGCTCTTTTAAAGATTGGTTAAAATGCAGCGGATGGACTATTCCTTGGAAGATATATGCCTTCTTTAAGTTAGATTTAGCTAGTTCAGTGAAATATCGACAATAGGGTTTAAATTTGCACTTACGCTTAACTTGCATATAACTGAATAACCATAAGAATTGGATAGGGTTAAATTATCTTCGGCTATTAAATAATAGCTATACTTAACTGACTTACTGGAAGACTATAACAGTTAAGGCTAGGTTATAAGTTTATCTGCTAGTAAATTAATAGTAATAGTTAAGCGAGGATTAGATTATATAGAGCTAAATTATTTATATTATAGAGTAAAGCCTAATCTCTATGCCCTCTTAGGTTAGTCTATTAATGCTTTTAGGTATTATATTTTTATATCTTTTGGATGCAATAAATAATATGGCCGCAAGTATAACATTTTAAACTATCTGGTTTTAGCGACATAAGATATAGGATAGGTTAAATTATATCCGTTAGGTACTGTAAATGGTGATATAGGTTATCCCGACTGTAGATAATATTCGGGATCTGTTTTATCTTCTCCACCAGCTGCTGTTAACGCTCTGGTTATATAAAATGCATAGCAACCTCGTCGGCTATTAAGGCAAACCTATAAGCCTGGTATATAAGAAGACGGTATATAGAGAGAGGAATATAGGGATAAATTACACTATATAATTTAGATTGCAAGTTTAAAGCTATTATAGTAACTTAGTGACTAATAGTAAAATCTAAATAATAATAGGTCTTTAATTAATAATAAGACTGTCTAGTAGTATAATATTACCCCCTTATAGTACTTTATGCAAAAGGATGTATTGCATTCTATAGTAAACCCCTGATAAACCCCCGTTCTGATTAGCACTACCCCTACTGTATGTGAAATAACGTAAAATCAACCCTACACCCTAGCAATAATTAACCCTACTAGGTTTAAAGCGGGTCAGTAAAATCAACTGTACTAGAGTTAATTTGGTCATTAGTTACTAGGGCTATTTATACCGCTATTATTAATCTCCTCCTCGCACTTACTAACCTTTTCGTCTTTAACTTCTTCCTTATTATTAGTATTTATATTTCTTTTACTGTAGAACCCGGTGTTATAACTGCTAGGAAATGCATTTCTTTTAATTTCTTTGTTAATATCGTTTAGTTAGTTTTACTGCTTATCTATAACCTGAATAGCCTAGCGTGAAAATGCCTCTTTACGTCTAATATAGTATAACCTCTAGTAAAAGCTTAAGTAGTAGTGACCTATAAAATGGTATTTGTTTATTAATGCCTTCTTGCCTTTTTAGCTAAATGATATGCCGCTTAGGCTTGTTACTGTGATACTGGTTAGCTATTATAGTGTTTCTGTTGGTATGCTGTTAAGTCGCCAGCAGTAACGGTCTACCTTGTGGTTAAATCTCTGCCTACGTTAACTGAGTAATACTTGTTTACGGATTGCTTGCTTGTCTGCTTGCCTAGCCTGACTTTCTGTTATTGACCTTGCTTGTACCTATGTGGCTGCGTCGTGGATATTAAGCAAGTCCTGGGAGCCAAAGTGCCGTACCTAATATAGTCTCTTTACCTACTGTGAATTACGGTTAATCTCTTCTTTTAAGTCGCCCTGGCGCTTATTGTTTGCGTCAACAGCCTGCCGACAATTAACTTTATATAGGAAATTTCGTGGCGCTAGCAAGATATAGGTATTACGATAATTAAAATGAGTAAGTGCTAATAATAAGCATTTTAGGCGCTATAGTGGCTATAGTAGGTTTAAAATAAGTAAGAATATAAAATAAATGTTTATAAATTAATTAATACTAATATTAATATATAGACTTATAATATTAGTAACTGCATAGTAAATTCTCATCAAGGTTATTTTTATTAATAGTTATTAGGCAATAGGGTTTATAAGTATAGATTAGTCTACTATAACTAACCAGAGTGTATTCTTAACTTATAAAGTTTAGCGATAGCTATGGCTATCTTGGTACTAGTAATATCCTAACAAATGTCCCTTATGCCATTTGGTAACTAATAAATTATTGTGGGTGGAAACAAATGGCGCTAGTAAGACATATCTTTACATGGTCATCAAGGAACACGCAATACTCCCACCAAATCTACACCGCATTATGGATGCAGATGCAGTCAAACGTGCGAGAAGTCTGCCATCAATGTGACAGGAGACTGACGACACGGAACAGGATCGACAGTTTCGTCAACAGCACGTACAAATTCAAGATATCCTTGCCGAATCCGCCGAGGCAAGCACCATGACCAAGGGAGAATCAGCGTGGAATACACAAGTTCAATACACCATTCTTAAACTGGCTCTCTCCCCCATTGCTTCAACAAGGGCAGATACCGTTACCAACGCACAAATTATCAAAGACTTTCGGCCCAAGTCTCAAGAGAAAGGCTGGTCATCAGCATCATCAAGTGCAGCGTCAAGTCAGTCGAGTTTTCTCAGCGATGACACAGGGACGTGGCCAGAGCCTGAGTCATCATCAGTCCATAAAATGGTCGATTTTGCACTTGTTCTCATACCTGATGACACGCTGGAAGAGAAGATCAAGGGGTTTCTTAAGAAGCAACGATACTTTACTATCAGCCACACGATGTATGATGCTTTGTCTCAACACCCTACACCCGTGTTCATCGAGACCAAGACATCAGCTGGGGTGGTAGCTCGAAGTCACGTTTAATTAGGATATGGATTGCAGCATGGTATCAACGTCTCCGTGCTGCAAAATCGACAAAGGATCTTATTGCTGTCCCTATCATGCAGGTCCATGGTAATGTTTGGACCGTGAGTTTTGCTGTAGTTAATAAGAATAAGATTGTAAGTCTGCTGTGAATACTATATTGGGATTAGTTCACTGACATGTAACCCAGTTACTTCTAGACCAGTCGGTAAGGATTGGAGATACAGCCACTATTATAGGGATATATCAGCTTGCTATTTTGAGAGTGATTGGAAAGTGGATTAATACAACGTTTCGGACTTGGTTAAGCGATTTCTTGGATGGTGTATAGGCTGCGTGACTCAATCCTGTTATATGTTCGTCAGGAGTACTTGTCTCGCGAAGCAAAGACTGACATGAACTTCTCCCAACGTTTCATCCTGAAATCCTCTTCGACTGTGATAGCTCGGTGGTGGAGACAGAAGCAATTGAAGTTAAGCGCTGTCTCTCGGACTTGTGATATACCAGGCTGCACAATTGAAATGCCTACATCCTTATTGTCTGTCCCATTTTCAATAGAAGAGGAAACCCACTACTGCTTATTGGCTTTGCACTGTATCCAGTCTATCTTCTGACATGGATAGATATGAATGTCTATGACCATCTACGTCTGATATGAGACCTCCAGAGTTAGGATATGCAGGAATACAAATGATTACAATGGTAAGAATTGCAGCGTCAGTAATGCTACCGATATTAAGGCCGCTGCCATCTTTGTCAGATTTAGCCTCTGCAACCAGCATGCAGGCATCAGGCCATTTTGGAAAGGAATTTTGGTTTAGAATTTCCCTCTTGGAAAAACAAATCCCGCTTAGAATGAAACAAGATACGCTTTGCCGCGGGGTATTTCGGTTTAAAGGCCTGCAAAGCCATGCATCTTGCATCTCGGCTGAATGCGAAATCCCCTACGCTCTGAATCATGAAGTGGCTCTGACCTAGGCAATCCATTGTCATGTAGAACGTATCCAGACCTTTGAAGCTGGAGAGACCGATAGTTGGGCGTTAAGGTAGATCGTAATGGTGGCGTGATGATGGTAGTGGCGACGTGCTCTCAAGTGTTGATTGGTTATCAGACGTATCTTTCAACTGACATTGTAGCTTCCTAGCCAATCAATGGGTATTCGGCATGATGATCTCCCATGGCTTGCAAATTTAGGTTCAAAGACCTGGCCTCGTGGCGGCAATCCCTTGAGAGTGGACTAACAGAGTTTTGAAAGGCTGAGATATAAATTGGGGCCTTGATATGGGAGCATTGACAAGTATCCAATCAAAACGGGTCGGACCTTTTGTCCCAAAGTCAAAGAGACGTGGTTGGAACGCAGTCCTCCAATAAATAGGAACCAAGGACATCTCCAGTATACGGTGAGAGAAGAAGGTATTCAACCTATAAGAAGGTTAAAGCATGAGGTTTGAGGCTGCTAGATCACAAGCTGTTCCTTATCCGAAAGACACATTTATAATGTCGTTATTACATGAAATCATTTCTAATTTAAATTCGGACCCTTCGAGATTGAATGATTTTATAGCCTATCTTTCAAAAAATCACTGCCTAGAAACCCTTCAATTCATCCAAGACGCCTCGAGATACCGAGCATGTTACGCAGAGATAGTCGAGGATAAAAAAATCCCTTGGGAGTATCTAAGACGCCATTACGATTATCTGCAGGAACTATGGGAAGATCTTCTAGGCACCTATATTCTTCCTAACGGGGATCGCGAGGTCAACCTGCCCTGTGAAATTAGGATCCGACTTCTTGGGTTGCGTTCTTCTTCATTGCCTCCACATCCATCGGAACTGGATGATGTCATCCAAATTGTCCTTGAGCTCATGGAGGACTCGATCCTCCCTGGGTTCCTGAAGTCTTATGAGTCGCTGGATCAATCGAGAGGTGGAGTGGTTGGTGGCTGGAGGGGACTTCTCGGCGGACTTCCGCGGAGAGTTTCAACGCCCACATCAGAAGGGGGCCACGAGGGTTCTGTGTCGCGGTCTTCCGGTTCAAGAGAGGACGATGAGGAAACTCATTGTACACGCCGTCGCTTCCTACAAGCCACCCTCGCATCACCTCGCAGGCATCTTCTGCGGCCTCTGGAAGAGTTACTTGACCATGCTGTCTGCAGTGTCAGGAGTATGAGATGGTTCAAGGAGCCGCCAGAGAAAGGTGGAGCAGCAGACACTGAGATCGGTACTAAAGATAAGGAAGTCAGCGCAAAGCTTCTGGAATAAGCTCGTTAGTGATGGCCATGACGGAGTATTCGGATAGCAGCAAACCAGTGTCTTAGAGGGATTCGTCAACAAAATAGCAAAAATGAACTATCATTATAATTCAGTCGGAACTCATTGGCTTCTAGTTTTTTTACGCAGAAGTATTAAGGCTCTCGGAGGATATAAGCTGATGCATAAAAGTTTAACGGAGCAATAACTGAACAGATCAAGGTTTTCTGTGTATTAATAAGCATGCCGGGTTTACTGCTGTCACGGTGTTATGTCGGAGAAACGTTTGTTGAGACAGTGTGGCTACGGTGGTCCGATCTGCTCGTAGTTAGGATGTGGGTACTATGTGAGGAGCTGTGCTCCTCTCAGACACATGTAACTTAGAACTAACAGCAACACAATAAACCCATTTTTGTTTCATCAGGTTATGAGCTCGGAGGGCACTGTTTTCTCTAATTCCGAAGCTGAGTGTTTTCTGTCTCCTTTCAACCTCTCATTGCTGGCACAAGAAGTCGAAAGACTTCCTTCCACTGCGCATGCACATTCAGCTTAACCTGGAGCTATCTCCTTCGCATATTTCCCGGAGCTTATAAACCAGCTGACAAGACATGTCTAAAAATATCACCAGAAGGAGCCTTCGCTCCCTCCATTCAAGTTATCGACTTATAATTATTAACTTCAAACCACTGATAGATTCTCAGACTGCAGCCTGGCTTATGAACTGTCAAACAGGCCAAGATCGCCTGAAAGTGGTCTGCCATAGTGCTGGAAACAGACCACTGCCCCTTTTTCGGGACAGCGGGAGAGTTACAGTCAATTTTACTCCCTAGTACTACAGTCCAAAATCAATTGTTGTACAATTGAATTAATTTACCACACTTTACAGGGCGTAGACTTGAATTTCGAAAAATGGACTAGAGTTGGGGTAAATTACATTTTGACAGAGGTTAACATGAGTTTCTGATTGGTTCTTGATTACACTTTCAGGCAAGACAACACTTTAACAGCAGCGCGTCGAGTTTTGACTCCTGTCCATTGGGGTCTATCACGACGAATGTCAGATCTGGCTAACAACTTATGGTTTTTGTTTTTTTTAGCTCTTAAGAAGTATCTATTAGACTATAACACTTAAGGCTATAATAAAGCTTGGCCTTTTTAACCGTATATAACTATTTATACTTCTATTTAATTATTATATTCTTATTTATTAGAAATACTAATATACTTAATTAAGTAAAGAGGTTATTACTTATTTTATTAAATTATATCCTAGAATAGACCTAGGGGCTAAATATACTCTAATGCTAATAATATAGTTTAAATTTCTACTAGATTTAAGTAATATAGAAATACTGTACTAAGTTCTATAGCTAGATTAATCCTAGAGATAAAGAGAGGCTATTGATAGGATATTTAATAGCTAATCCTCTGCTATAAATAGAAGGTATTATATATTAATAATTCTTTCGATCTTGGAAAAGTAATAAATAGTTTTAAGTTAATATATAGAATAAAAGTAAAGTTAAGTACTATGAAACTTCAAATTCTATATAATTTAATTCCTTCTAGCTAGACTAGGTTATATTATATTTAAAACCCTTTTTATATTTAATAACTATTTAATCTACTATACTATAAGTAGCTTAAAACTAATAAAAGAGCTTAGTAATAGCTTTAGAAATATTTACTATTTTAAAATAATAGGAGACTTTAGTCTATACCTTATTTAATATATATTATAATAAAGGCTACTTTAGAATTATAATAATAATAGTAATAATAATAATATTATTAAAATTTACCTATTAAAGTAAGTATTAATTAGTTTAAAATAGGATTATATATAGACTTAATAAAGTATACTTATCTAAATTTTAATTATTATTTCTATAATAGTATAAGTAGGCTTTAATATAATAGTATAGATTTCTATATTAATTAAGTAAGAATATGCTTTTAATACTTAAAGATTTATTTACTTAAAGTTATTTTCAATATATAAGATATAAGCTATTATAGAGGTTATTATAAATTTTATATATTTAATAGATAAGGTTTATTTAGTAAAAGGATAAAAGGGTTATAAGTTATTAATAAACTTAAGTAAGTAAGATTTATAGCCTTTTTTAATAGAATGCGAGTAAGATAAGTAAGATTAAGTATAACCTATAATATATAATAAGGTTTTACTTTATACTATAGATAATTAAAATAAATATTTTATATTTATAGATAGAGTTTTTTATATACTTAATAAGCCTTGGATTTCCCTGTTTAAAATACTATTAAAATTACTATAGTTATAATGAATAAATATAGAGAGGGTTATATAACTTTATTCTATTAAATATTATATAAAAATACCTTTGCTTATTTTTATTTAACCTTATATTAAACTCTCTTGCATATATAACCTTTTTTATTATATAGAATTTAACTTTAATAGAGTTTCCCTAGTACTAGGTTAAGCCTCTATAGCTATATTTATAGGAATACTTTCTTCACTAAGTGCAATTAAATATTATAACTATTATAATAAGTATTTGTATTTCTATAAACTATATTAAATAGCTTAGATTATTAAAAATATAGTCTCTGCAAGCTTACCCCCTTAATTAATAATAATATAAATTAAGCAGGTTTTCCTCCTCTATAATATCTTAAATATTATATAGAGAGATCCTAAGGGAAAGTAAACTTAGAAATCTATAGCTAAATATAGCTAGTATTACCTTATTTTTCACTATAATTAGCTAGATTATATTTATTATAACATAGTTTAAGCTAATTTCTAGGCTATATATCCTATTAAAGGTCCTTTTACTTATATAGTTAAAGGCCTTAATAATTAATTTATAGCTATAGGCTTATTAATTAAGGCAATTATATAACTAAATAATATAATATAATAACATCTTAGCTATAATTAAGGTTAATATAATATATTATATATTAAATAGAGAGTATTTTACTTAATTACTTATTTATTATTTTAACTAATTATCTTATTAA